TTAAAAGTGTACTATACAAGAAAGTTTTGTTATTAAAATTGTGTATACTGGAAAAAGTGAATGTCTTTTTTTTCCCCCAAGCTTTTCCTTGGTAACCTATCATTTTTGACATGTGGAACCTGAAAAACCTTTTGTGACAGATATAGAAACTTAAATGAACAGTAGTTTTGTACCATGTTCTCTATAATGCCAAATATGCCAGCTGATAAAAGGGCAGCTAATCATCACCTGTCTTCATTCAGAGATAGACAAAACCAGGCTAAAAAGAAAAGGGGGGGAGGGGTGAAAGGGGAACTGACTAAAAAGCCATCATGCCAATAAATAAGTCATGCAATAAGAAGTTGCTCTGTCATGAGCCTCAGCAAGTGGACAAACAACTGCCTATGTTCCCCAACCTCCTTAACCTGCTCCCCAACCTGCCACAGCCTGGGGAGCTTCAAAAAAGGCACTCAATTGCCTATCCCCAGCAAACAGCAACCTGGCCTCTACCTTGGGGGTTCACTGGGGTACAACCCAGCAGCACACCTTGCACAACACTCCTGAGAGGGATGACCACAGGTACTAAACATGCTGCATTCTCTAGGATCCCTCCATGAGCTACTCTACCCTAGATGCCAGTTCACTAAGCATGGATAGGAGAAAGGAAGGCAAGATTTTTTTAACCAGTATCCCTCAATAGGCATAAGTAAACATCCCCAGGACAGGATGCTATGCCTGGGCAGCAGTGGGGGCAGAAACTGCCCTGGCCTTAGGGAGCTGACTGTCAGGAGTCTGCCATACTTTCCAGGATGCACTTACTGCTTCTCCAGGCCTAGAGCACTGCAGCAAGACCAGACAGGCAGAAAGAAACAAGGCTACCCCCTTTCCCATCACCCAGGGATAAGGGAACCAGAGAGGCTAAGAGAGCTCTCGTACCACAAACCTCAGCAGTAACTAGGGCAGAGGCAGGAAGCACAGCACAAAATTTTACTGTCAAATTCATCCAGTATGCACTAAAGGGCATAGGTGATGGTGGTTTCAAATTGTACAAAGGAACAAATTCCTATACTTTTTGGAGTTAAAAGAACAGCTTATTAACATAATTCTCATACATTTTAACCTTGAAAATCCCATGTAAAGCTACATCTGATTTCCTTATCAGTTATTTTAATTAGTTTTGCCTGAATACCACATCATTCTCAGATTCACACTCAAATTTATAATAGATTTCCTCAAGGTCTGTTTAAATACATTTTTTTTCTTTCTTTAAATATATCTAACCAGCTGGGTACTCAAGTCTTTCTTAAAGAGACAAAATGTGCCACAAATTGTCTTTCACAAAGAGAGAAGGGAAAAAGAGGTGAAAATCATAGCTATTCCAAACATCTTTCCTTAGCATGAGTTCCTCTTTATGATCCACTGTTTGGGGAACACTTTTGACAGAGAGATGTTGAGCTTCCCTTCCCCTATCTGAAGGAAACATTAAAGAGCAAAAGATCTCCAAAGGCGAGTACAAAGTCCACAAAGTGAATATACCATCCCTTCATACATGGAGGCCCAAGAGCAAAGCCTAGCCCAGTGATAGCGAACCTTTTGAGCTCTGCATGCCAGCATTTTGAAAAACCCTAACTTAGCTCTGGTGCCGTGTCACATATAGAAATTTTTTGATATTTGCAACCATAGTATAAAAAAGATTTATATTTTTGATATTTATTTTATATATTTAAATGCCATTTAACAAAGAAAAATCAACCAAAAAAATGAGTTCGCGTGTCACCTCTGACACACGTGTCATAGGTTCGCCATCACTGGCCTAGCCCATGGTCTCCAACTCAAACCTGCCACTAGAAACCCAACATGAAAGAGGACCTGTGAACAACCCTGACAGCAGGGGCCAATGGCTCCATCACCATCCAAAGAGAAAAGGCTCTTCCCACACTTGGGGACTATGTAAGTGCAGCCCCAGAGACAATACCCAAGGCTTTTTTACAACTTTCATCCAGAGACTTTACTAAGAACCATAATGCAGAGATGTAAAAATGTCACAAGTTTACCGAATACCCATTCACAATTGTGTTCAGTGGAAAAAAAAAACATACACACACACACACAACCTCAAGGTTGTTTTTTCTGGAAAATCATCAGATAAAACATTACAGCCATTTATAATAGCCCACCTGTTTCATCATCATGTGAACTAAAAGCTCCCTGTGTGATAAATAAAAACATTTTCAATGGCCTGAGCTGCCAAACACATGGAAGGCAACTGGTTACCCACTAAAACTTCTGAAAACCATGTATCATTTACATACAACCTACTTCTATAAAGCCAAGTAAACTTAGCATAATACATTCTTAAGTGCAGAATGGTTGAAATAAGAATGTAAAAAGATTAAAAAGCAGGGATTCTTAACTCTAAGGGTGCAGGATATGTTTCACAGGAAGAACCTTTAAAAATAATAATACAAACATTGTGTAGGTCTAGAGATTTCATCAGATCCTAAGGGTTTTGATAACTCACCAAAAAAGCCCTAGTAGAACAATGAAATAGTTATTTCTAGTATACACTAATTTGGCCTTGATCTTCCTGGTGGCCATGGCAAAGAACAAAGCCAACAGCTTTCAACTGATCCAAGAAGCAAACTGGCCTATTCGGTGGGGAAGACACTTCTTTCATCTGATAAAGGAAGCACACTAGTTTATTTGGGGAGAGCAAAAGTCTATGAATTATTTATAAAAGAGAGTCAGCTACAGGAACAATAAGGAAACAAGTCAGACAGTATCTCCAAGGAGGTTTTAGAGAAGACAGACTTATTCTTCATGTCAATCCTTGAAAAAGCTATGGGTAAGGAAACTACAAAAGCATGGTGCATGCTTTGTTCTGATCTAACCTTTGTGGTAACTCAAACTGGAACCTATAAAGCCAGCAAGAATGAACATGCACCTACTTAGGAGTCCATGTTTCCTCCTTATCACATCCCTGGGACCCAAACTATAGTGTCCCATCACATAAGGAGCATCCAATAAATACCTCCTCTACTACATTACAAATCTTCTACACTAGGAGTACAATTTAAAATGAAAAAATGTTCCACTACATCATGAACAAAGAGAAGCATATTTCAGCCATCATCTCTAGTTGTGCTGGTGATATCATAAGCGTGCTCCTTGAAACAGAATCTATAAGATGATAACTAATTTCCTAAGAAAGAACACATTTAAAAAGATAAAGCCTTCACTGATCTAAATAGCTGTCAGAAATTTAACTGTCTCTTTAAAATTTAAAACATTCCACACGCCATTAGAAAAACCACCTATAATTCAACAGGAACAAAGAGCACAAGGATTGAGTTCTGCTCCACACTTAGGCCTATAATCCTGGACAATCCTTGGGCCTCTCGTTCCTAACAACAGGGAAATTAATGGCAGTAACAACCACAGGGACATTTAATATATGTAAAGTCCTGAGAACAGGCTGGCATAAGTAAACATTCAATAAATGTTTGTTATTTTTAATAGCAAAATGTGGAGAACTAGATGTGACAGATTCATCAAGTAGAGAATACAATCACATTAAAGACATGTTAGACCCTGTATTGCTCCCCAAAACTCTCTACTTTCTAGTCTTACTTCCTCACTAAGTTCACGTATAGTCTCCAAAATGAATATTGATAATTAGTGAGAGCTTTTAACAAGCCAACAGCCTGAAAACATATTTACTACTGATGTAAACCTGACCACATTATCTCATAGTCAAGTAATCTTCTTTATAAAATGTATTATAATATTAGACATGACATTTCTCTAGTTTGGCTTTATGAATCAAGGCTAAATTTCAAAAGATTTAGAAGGAATTCTAAAATTCCTTCTGGGTAAAGTAGTCACTTAATATCAAGTAATGTTTCTTTTCCTTGTTCAATAAAATCATATAGGACAACATACTCTATCCATTATCATAAATACTATTTTTCGAAAGAAATAAACAATCTCATTAATATCACAGCTTCTGACAATTTTAGAACAAAATACCTAAGTGAGAATTAAGGATCACTATGATGTTCTTTTTTTTTTGCTTAGAAAAAAAATGTACTTCAAGTCTACCACACCTAATTTAGGAAGCAGCCCCTCCAATCGTGACAAATCTGGTTCATAGGCAGACTTGCCAGAATTATTGAGGGGCATGAATGGGGGAGGTATGAGAATTTAAAAACTCAAAGATAACCCACCAGTCCAATGCACACAGGAGGGTTGATTTGTGATTGCTGGATAGTGATCCTCCCT